GGTGTAAAAGAGTGGGAGGTGGGTGGGGTTGGGGGGGGGGGGGGGGGGGGGGGGGGGGGAAAGAGATTTAAGATCCAAAAAGAAGATTTATTTACACTAACATCCCTTGAGGTTTTTTATGTTTTCACAAAACCTCATCAGGTCTCAAAAATTACATGAACACTTCCTGAGGTTTAAGTTTGTTTTCACAAACCCCTTTTTCGTTGATTGTTTGTTCAAAAATTGATGATTTCATCGAGAAAAAAAACTTATGCAAATGACAAAATTAACTTCAATGAATGTATATAAAATCTAATTTTAAAGGCCAACTTTGTCATTTGAAGAATTTTTTGGTATAAAATCAATGAAAATGTGTTAGTGTAAATAACTCGCAAAAAAATGTTCCTCTTGATTCAACCATTAACAACTCTATAGGGTTCAGAGTTGAACTCTATACTTGTCTAGATTCAGTCACTAAAGGCTCTACACGTGTCATGCACGTGAGCCACTTAAAGGAAGTTAATGGAATGTCTATAAATTGTAAACTTTGAGTAATATAGTGACCAATTAGTTTTTTTGTGTAAAACTTAATGACAAAAAAGATATTTAACCCAACAAAATATAACAATTCTCATATTCTTATGAGAAATTGAGATTTTGTTGTTGTTGAGAAATTGAGATTTATGTGGCTTTCCGAAAAGGTTGCGCACCTTTCTTTAAAGTAAGTCTATGCATTTGGTCGCATCTCCATGTCTTTGGATATAAGCTTCTGATTTGATAACGCAAACTCGTGGTCCAACCAACATTTTCTTCAAGTCCCCACAACCAACATTACACAATTTTACACACCACAATCCATAACAACAACTCACTCATAAATTTCTCAACTCCAATTCCAATTCCAATTCCAAGATGTAGTTTGCTTATACTGAAAATGACCAATTTAGAAGCATAATAAAGTTATAAAATGGATAATAAAAATTACCAAACGAAGACCGAGCACTAATATTGATTTCATGGTAAATGGACCCATATTTGACCCTAACTCTAAGAGCATGGACACCCCAAAAGGCTAAGGCTAAGGCAAAGGTAAGGCAAGGGCTGCTACCATTCACGTGAATAGTGGCAGCCTTGCCTTTTTTGGTTCCACCCCAAAAGGCTAGGGCAAGGGCAAGAAAAAAGAAAGATTTTATGCAACAAAATATAAACAATTTAGAAATGTAAGAAATAAAATGATTATGCAAGAAAAAAATAAATATGAAAGAAAATATAAACAATTTACAAATGCAAGAAAAAAAAATTACAATTTACAAATATTGGAAGGAGAAGAGTTTGTATGAGGATTTTGTGTGGAAAGTGAATAAAATTGTTATGTATTTATAGGGAAAAGATCTATAATTTTTGGTTGTTTTTTATTTATTTTTATAAATATATAAAAAAAATTGAATTTTTTTCCATTTTTTTTCACTCGCTGACGTTATCGCCTTGGGGCTTGAGCCCAGGCAGATCTTGCTCGGGTTGGTGGGACCCAGGGCTTGCCGGGCTGCATGTGGTGCGCTGGAGGGTCTTTTGGGCTGGTAGGGGGCCTTTTGCCCGGGTTGGTGGCATGCGCTGGACATGCTCTAATTGACTCCAATTGTTGAAGGGAAGTTCGAACCAAGAAACCCAACATGAAGAAAAGCGAGCAAGAGCAAGTGGAACAGAGAGAGTGAGAGCAGCAGTGGAAGGTGTTTCACGTTCCAGCTATTTTTTTGTTTTTCTTTTCATTAAAAATTTAACCTACACAAGCAATAAGCAAACGATTATTTTCACAGCACAGCAATACTAAACTGAATCAATGGTGTGGTTAGCTCACATCCACCAACCAGTCATTCAAAGGTCCATATTGTTTTTTTTGGGTCAAAAAGGTTGATATTGTTTGGTGCATGGTAGAATTTTCGTTTGGAAGATATGCAACTGAATTGAATGGACCGCAGACAAATCATCAAAATAAGTACTGAGACTTTACAATTGAGGTCTGCGGAGAATCTACCATGGATGGATGCATTTATCATTGCACGTGGACCGTGGTGGTGTAATTTCCACAGCTTAATGTTCTGAGGGTGATATTTGCGGTAACTTTTGCAACGGTCAAACATGGTAGGCTGCCGCTGAGATGAGAAGGAAATGGAAGCTTGAACGAAATTGAGTTTTGATGAGACACGAGGGGCTGCTCTCTCTCTTGATCACCAAACTTTCTCTTCCTTATATGAATACAATTTTGTCGGTGTCATAGCAAAAAGGAAACCACTACTTCTTTATTTATATATCAATTTCTACAATTTGTCAGTGTCAGTGCAGAGGAGAAAGATGATGAAGATGGGGGAAATGTGGGCTCAGCTGGGCTCAGTGATGGCCAGCATGATGTTTGCCTATGCCATGTTCAAACAATTCTTCCCAGATGATCTTGGCAACATCCTTGACAAATACACCAAAAAAATGGTGGGCTATGTGTACCCTTACATCCAAATCTCCTTTGATGAATACACCAATGAGTTTCACAAACGCAGCGAAGTCTATGCCTCCATCCAAAGCTACCTCAGCACCAAGTCCTCCACACGAGCAAAACGGCTCAAGGCTCATGATGTCAAGGGCAGCACGGCCCTTGTTCTCGGCATGGATGACAACGAAGAGGTCACCGATGAGTTTCAGGGCATCAAGCTCTGGTGGGCTTCAATGAAAAGTGCGTCCAAAAAGACTTCTTTCTCTTTCTATCCTGAGTATGACGAGAGGAAGCACTACAAGCTGACATTCCACAGACGCCACAGGGATTTGGTCATGGGGTCTTATCTTGACCATGTGAGGCAAGAAGGGAAGGCAATTGCAGTGAGCAATAGGCAGCGCAAGCTTTACATCAACAATACTGAGAAGGGGGCTAAGTGGAGCCATGTAGTGTTTGAGCACCCTGCAACATTTGAGACCTTGGCAATGGAGCCAAAAGAGAAGCAGTCAATTATCAATGATCTCCTTAAGTTCAGCAAGGGGAAAGACTACTACAAGAAGATTGGTAAGGCTTGGAAGCGTGGATATCTCCTATACGGGCCACCGGGCACCGGTAAGTCTACCATGATCTCTGCCATGTCTAACCTCATGAACTATGATGTCTATGATCTTGAGTTAACTGCTGTCAAGGACAACACCGAGCTGAGGAAGCTGTTGATTGACATAACTGGTAAGGCGATTATCGTGATCGAGGACATTGATTGCTCTCTTGATCTGACCGGACAGCGAAAGAAGAAGAAGGAAGAGAAGGAGAAGAAAGATGGGGATGAAAAGGACCTAATTCCTAAAAGGCCTGAAGAAGAAGATGCCACAACGAGCAAGGTCACTCTGTCTGGACTGTTGAACTTTATTGATGGGATTTGGTCAGCTTGTGGAGGGGAGAGACTGATTGTGTTCACCACAAACTATGTGGACAAACTTGATCCTGCTCTCATTAGAAGGGGAAGGATGGACAAACATATTCAGCTGTCCTACTGTTGCTTTGAAGCATTCAAAGTGCTTGCAAGGAATTATTTGGATGTAGAATCACATGAGTTGTTTGGAACCATCGAGCGTTTGTTGGGGGAAACCGATATGACTCCGGCTGATGTTGCTGAGAATTTGATGCCTAAATCTGATACAGAGGATGCAGACTCTTGTTTGAAGAGCTTGATTGAAGCTCTTGAGGTTGCTAAGGTGGAGGCAAGAGTGAAGGCAGAGGAAGAATCAAGCAAGAAAGCAGAGGAAGAAGCAAAATTGAAGGCAGAGGAAGAAGCAAGCAAGAAAGCAGAGGAAGAAGCAATATTGAAGGCAGAGAAAGAGAAGGAAAAATCTGCTAATGGTAAAGATGGAGTGACATGTAACGGAACGAAAGATGAACTGAAAGGAACATCAGTTTCAGAAGTCAAAGAAAATGGTGTGACCCCGTGAAGAAGTCATGCCCCTTGAACAAGGCATTAGGCCATTACCTCTTGAAGATATGTGACGTGTAGTCTTTATGTCATATGAAAGATGTCAATTACGTGTTCATTAC